TGGCAGTGAGTCACGTCGCCCACCGCCCACTCTGACTCCGCCCACTGGCCACTCTGACACGGGCGCTGTGTGCCGCAGGTTCGACGCGCTGAGCCGCAGCCTGAGGCCGGAGTACTTCTTCGGTCTGTGCCGCAACTACGTGCAGCCGCGCGCCGACGCCGAGCCCGACTGCGTGTGATGCACCTATGTACCTATGTACCTACAGATGGAAAATCACCACAAGCATATTTTAAATAATCATGCCCAAAAAAATATAAATAGAAAAAATATCATTAAGAGGAATTCAATTTTTAAGATCATGATTTATAATAGTAGTAATTATTACGAATTAATGTATCTTTATTGTTATAACTACATAAAAGCGGCTGCAATCGCGTATGGAGGCCTTCGTGATCAGTTCTGCGAGGTGAGAGGTGGCAGAGGTGGTGAGAGATGGCGAGGTGCTACGTGACTGCAGCCGCTTCTATCTACTTGTAATAACGTCTCACAAAAGATTAGGTAGTTTCATTTTATAGTTGCAATTGAAAGTTAATATTGCTAAATGTAAGAGTCAATTCGGACTGAAATGATTCGACGTAACGTGTTACGCGCACCAGGCGCATGGTACGCGCACCAGGCGCATGTTACGCGCACCAGGCGCATGTTACGCGCACCAGGCGCATGTTACGCGCACCAGGCGCATGTTACTGCGCGTTAAAAATGTTCATTAAGGATTTTCTTTAAAAACAAGAATAAAAGTGTACAAATAGTAATGTTAGTTTTATTTACGCGAGCGCAATCTATGCATCTTCCACCATGTTTACAAATGTGACGCGCACCAGAATTACATATATCCCTGTTTATCTGCATGTATAATAACTAATGTATTCATTATAAATAATTCTTGCTGTTATTTATTTATTCCTGACTTTTCTTGATATTTATGTACTGTATACCCCGCTACCTACGTCACTCTCTCCTGTCCCGCTGGGTTGTCTGGAAGAGGTCGCCTTTGCTGTGCCAATTAGTTATTAGTCATTTCTTTATATAATTTGTAATAGCAATAAGAGTTAATAAATAAATTAATTAATGTTCGTATTTCGACGGTACATTTAATTATAAACTATTTACAAGATGTTTTTATAATATAATACACAATATGTATGTGACGCACACACACATACAAGGTCGATAATGTTCACAGGAATGTCTCCACATTAACTAAGTAAAACATTGTCTTAGATATGTACGTCATACATTCTACATACAATACGTTGCGGTGCGGTGTGCGGTGCGGTGCGGTGCGGTGCGGTGTGCGGTGCGGCGCGGGGCTACCTGCTGCGCACCAGCAGTATGGGGAAGTTCTCAGTGACCACGTAGTCGTCCTCGAAGATGACGGCGATGTTCAGCTCGAACTCTGCGAACAGACAACACAGTCAGCTCACCCTTCACTTCAAATTGTACAATACACTGTTTGTTTTACTATTGTCATTAACTTGCAGTAATTAAGCAACAATTATGTAAAATCTTTGTGCGTATGTGCGTATGTGGGTGTGTGGGTGTGAGCACCTATCTTGAAGGCGGGCGTGGCGGTGGTGGGGCAGGTGAAGAGGCGCGGCAGCACCATGTAGAGCGGCAGGTCGCGCCCGCGCCGCACCTCGCCCTCGCCCACCTGGATGTTCTGGATCTCGGTGGCTGCACACACACGCACACACACACGAGCTTAACATCACACACAGTCGAGGCTAGCTGGTGACACACAGGTCTCGTTGTGTCTCACCGTCCCGCGCGTGTCCCTCCGCGCAGGCGCACGTCTCCACGCGCACCAGCTGCAGCTCGATGGACTTGATGGCCGCCGCGCACTCCTCCACCCGGATCTGTCCCATCAAATAAGGTTATGATGGAAATGTCTTTTACGTTGGAGATGGCCAAATGGCCAGGTGGATGTACCTTCCCGGTGAGAGGCCGGTCGAGGGGGCAAACTGTGGAATCGAGCTCTGCATAGAGCTGGAAGTGTGGCATGGCAGGTCGCGGGCCGGGAGCGGGGCCGCGGCGCACTGACGCCGGCGTGATTTCGCACCGCACCGGCTTGCGCGGGGCCGCCTCCTGCTGCACAAACATATTGCACAAATACATACTCCATGACTTTCATCTTTATTTCAAAACAAGAAGGAATGATTGAACACCATTTGTTATTGTTCAATAAACTCCATGCACTCTAACTTAAAATGTTTCATATGAATTTATCATTACAACTTTAACAAAAAAAACTATAAACAACACATACTCTGTAACACATTGCAATAACACACCTCTGTTAGTTAGAAGGAGAAAAAAAAGAATCATACAAATCTCACGGCGCCAATATGTGCCAGTACTTATTTACTCCTTTGGTGCAACATCTATTGGATATTGAATTGCTATCAAATGGTTATAGTTACTTACAGGATGGTACTGCACAAAGAACTGGCAGCTAGTATTGAGAGGTTTGTTGAGAAATGATCTCTTCATGTTGCACCGTAGAGTGTATGTGATGTTGACAAACACCCCATGGTAGGTCTCCAGTAGGCCACAGCCGGCGGGGGCACCCGGCAGCGGCTGTCGTGCACGTAGAGGCATCTCAAACGGGATTTCCGTCACACCGGGGGGAATCTTACCAGCGGGAGCCAGCTCCATTACTGTGTTGATCAAAGTCATGGGCTAGAAGGTAAAATAAACAGGCAAAATTTATAAATTATGTAAAAGTACATATTCTGGTACATTTATTATTTTAAAGCAAAATTATAGGGACATTTACTGACCTTGATGCTATTAGAGAAAGCATCAAATATGCCGGCGTTCTTAGTGCTGAGATGCAGGCTGACGGCACCCTCTGCGGCCAGTGCCAGACCCTCGTGCCGCACCTCGCCGATGCTCTCCACCACTACCACGCCCGCTACTATATCCTGAACACACGCTAGTCAATAACTATGAAGATATAGGCAGGTGGAAACACTTTTGTGGTGCATGAACATCACCAAGTGTTTTAAAATCATTATACTTGATTTTTCAAGATTTAAATAAAAACCTTAAAAGTTGCAGTTTTTGATTAAGTATAATTATTTGTCCAAGACTTACTCCTTCGTGGTAGATTTTACTAGCTTTTTTAAGCACAATATTTAAAGTAGTTGACATTGTTAAGTTGGTTATTTCAAATTTTTGCTTGTTTAATTTATAGCTTATTGCGGTAAAAAAATTTCATTCACTGCATTTCGTTTACAATTTATTGTTATTGACATTACAGATGACAATGACAGTGACAGCTAGAGCCAGATGTTGAACTTGTCTTTTGTTTACATATGAATTCCTGTATAATTAACATTCTATTTTGGTACAATAATATACTGTAACATAATTTTATTCGACTTTATTACATTCGACACGCAAGAATTTTCAATTAATGTGAGTGATTTATATCACAATTTTATTAAAATATCCGAACTGTAATGCTAAAGACGAAAGGTGTCAAATGCTCAAATGCAAATAAAAATTCAAATGTCAGTGTCAGTGGCTTATAAATGTCCGCCAGTGGCGGGTGGATGCGAACTCTTGTGATTGAGAAATTTACGATTTTATTTTTATTGAATATAAAAAAGCTAATCGTGTTAATCAATTTATAGCACCATATTATATTTTCTGTTCAATTCTTATTAGTTTCGTCGTAATATAAATTGGAACAGGTGATGTCTACAATACGTGCACCCCGAATGGATCGATATTGGTGGCTTTGAGTTTATCATAAATTTTGTGTGGGTGGAAGGGGTGGTTGAAGATGGAGAAGTCCGCACGGCCGCGGACAGCACTGAACGAATGCGTCAAGGTGGTGGTGCGATGTCGGCCGCTATCGCAAAAAGAGAAAAACGAGGGTTACGAGGAGGTAAGGTTTTCGTCGCTGTTGACATTCCTGGAGATGCGCAGACTTGGTGCGTTTAGCGCAATAAATGAATAAACATATAAACAATAAAAAATTAGTAATATTTAAAAATATTTTCTCACTGTACTGTGAAAAAATAATAATATTTGTGCAACTGCATAAGCAGAATAAACTTATTAATTTATTTATCGTGTTTATATTAGTGCTATTTTTTAGATAAGATTTGAATTGTTAGGCAAATATTTAGTTAGTTATTAAATAGTGTTAAATGGGAAGTTGTTATATAGTCAGCATAATTGTGTACATTAACAAGAAGACATAGGGACATGATTCATTTGCAACTGGATGATGTTTAATTTATACCAATTTACAATTACAAGTCATTCAATGAATAGTTATTCTGTAAACAGAGCAATAGGAAAAAGATCCATTTTTGTTTTATATATAAAGATATAATTGCTCATTTTAAGATATAAGATACATTGCATTTTATTAACTAAGCAATTTGTATTTGGCATTTGTACTTTAGTTTGCAGATATCTATAATATAATATGTTAAAAACTATTTTAGGTATTTGAAAGGAATGAATTTGTATTGCCTTATTAAGTAAGTAATGTGTGGACACACAGCTAGCTTCATGTGTTGTGAATGTGGAAATTTACAATCATGAGTTTGATTTTAATGGGAACAGTGCAGTGATAGTATAGACACCCTATTATTTATGGCAAAAGTACAACACCACTACAGAATAAACACCAATTCAATGTTAAAAAAGATGCAATACAATCAATGTACATAATCATAAATCTGAACAAAAACAACGTTTGCGCCAGCTCAAACAATCGTAGCGGGAGTACGCGAACTTCCCTATCCGCTATCGCTTAGCCTCAGCCAGAGGTGTCGCGCGCAGTCGCGCCGCGCCTCCGAGTTCTCAGTATAAACGTAAGAGTGCAATGTAGGTGAGTCGTAGTATCCGAATATGCACTCCTCGCGGACCATCTGGCGCGTGCTCACACCTCACCCGTATCCTCTCCGCTATCTTTGGCTCGGCTTTTTGCATATATCCATGGTCGGTTGGCGGTCCAATTTTTGTACGACGCGTATAGATACAACACCAGAGGAAGCGCACCTGGGTCGACAGCCTTTTAACAACTGTTCACTAGAACCTTAAAGATTTAATTTTTAACAGTTCGTATTACTCCAATTCTCATTAAAAGACTATAAATTACTTTGAATTTAAGGTCGAAATAGAATTGCTGGCACAACGACCACACGACACTGACAACCATACAACATTTTGATCATCTGGGCGGTGCCAGTCTGCAGCGCACCCTAGGAGTTTTAAAACTGTATCTTTAATAATGTGACGGATTGTGATTGACCTCCGCGAGTCTCAGCGTGAATTAGCATCAGTTCTGGTACATCCGCTGGCGATGCGGCCGCGACACGTCTCCCCTTACAACTCACAATTTCATTTAATAGGTGGGGAGGTGAACGAACTCACGCCCTCCTCCTAGTTAAGGACAATTGTGTCACAGGAAATTTATCAATCAATACAACACATGAAGTTCAATAATCAGCGATGGAGGATGACCCGCCTCCTACCCCCGTGTTTACAACCTGGCCGATTATACTTCTTCTCTGGCTTAGTTATATGTTGGTATTTTTCGTACTGATTGCCGTAGCTTAGTTATAAATTGATATTGATATTAAAACGTTGTATTTTATTTACAAACATGATCGGATATATTTACAAAACAATGTGTTTAGACGTACAATGATGTACAATTTAAAAGCAGCATAGTTCATAACAATAAACATTGGCCATGTGCGTCGCGTCGCGTCGCGTCGCGTCGCCACAACGACGTGTATCGCGAACAGCATTCTTTGTTGGCGGTGATGGTAATGCGCGATATATGTTTCTACCGCAATTCCCTACAAGGTAGGAAGGTAAAAACATAGATATAGCTACCATTCCGTATTGGCTTACATGTTATTTATTATTTACTTACACGTCTCTAACTAAACTCGGTCTAAAATATTTCAATTGCAGTCGCTACAAAAATCAGACACAATATTTCAATTCACTTCTTTTTACTTCACGCGTACATACAATGTGTGTGTTTGTACTTGACATTCAGATAAAATGCTGCTGTAAATAACTAATATTTTTCATTCGATACGGATAAGATAAAGACAATGGATACAGGACAAATTAATGCGAATCAATTGCTTAGTTTTGTTTAACTATTAATACATAAATATGTATAATGATATAATTTACATGAAGTGTTATTTGTGAGGAGATAACGCGAGCGAGGAGCGGTTAGATAAACTAGTTAGTTTTCCGTATTCTTATCGAGCGATCGATTCGTCTTGATAAAGTGCTGCGTTGCACACACAATACAATACAATACAACACAACACGCAACACATTCAGATCGATTCCAAAATGTGGCCTATTTTGTTTATAAGTAAATAAAAAAAAATTTTAGAGAGATGATAAGTAATGCTTTTAATTTTAAAATTAATTAAGCTTAAAATGAAGAGACCAAGATATATTGTGACTAAAAAAATAATAAGACGCATCGCACGGGTGGTATGCGTAACATAATAGGTACATTTTTTTGTTTATAAACTGTAGCGGCTGCAATTGTAGTGATGACTAACTCCGCGCCGTCACGTCGTCGCAGTCGTCTTCACCGGTGATCACTCATTGTTATTTCTACATGCTGATGTTTCATAGAATGTGCACTCCTACGCACTAAGCCACACGCCACACGCCACACGCCACACCCCACACGTACACATTTTGATTTCAGTCCACTAATCAGCTCTCAGTTAAAGGTGATTTTACACGTTAACTAATATTGATGCATCTGTTCCCTACTATACCTAGTTTACACGCCTAAAAAATATTCATAAAGAAAATAGATATTACACGTAAATGATATTCGTCGTGGATACTTGGTAAATGAAATTCAAGTATATACATACTACGTAATGTATTTTTACCAGGCAAATAAGTAGGACAACTATTCTGAGTGAAGTAGGTTGTACCAGGAATGATACGTGACGCAGGATGATTTCATTTACTTTTGTATAGACAACAGAGTAATACCGATTGAAGCAGGCCACTGTAAAAAAATTCACGAGCGGTGAATTGGATCTTATCCAAAATTGACGAACTGAAAGTAATTGAAGAATTGATTTTTTCCATCGAAACGATCTCAAAATTTTGAAACAAGGTTACGGGTCATCTTTGGTAATTCCCTAAAACGAGTTTTTACTACAAGTAGTATATAATAGTATTATACTATTATATGCAAGCAAGTCTAATTAGAAATTATACCACTCCTTTATCAGGTAAAAATTGTTTCTAATAGATTCTTGATCATTCCGTGTGGCGCCGGGTTCGTCCATATGGGTCCGTGTGCAATGTTCAATGTTAAATGTTCTACGTTCTAATTATATATATATATATATATATATATATATATATATATATATGTCTCCTGTGACTGTGTCCGCTAGGTTCAAAAGAAGCAGCCCGAGCGCACGTGGTACGAGCGGCTGTCGACGCGCGTCAAAGAAGACAAAAAACTTATCGATGCTCCCTTGCAGGTGTGACACAGGGAGTGGCACTAACCATGGCGGTGCGGGTCGGGTCGGGACTGGCGGCGGCATCTTATTACTAACATCATCATCTTATTACTAACAATCCAACCCGCTTTCACAACGCATAGATGTTAAGTCGAGTTTTCGTGCTATAACAACACCAATTTTAGATCGATTAAAATCGTTCATCAGAATGGTTTAAACGTGTGCACGAATGGTCGGCTTGTCATTTGGCAGTCTGCGAACGCATTGATCATCTGATAACAACTTGCGATGTGCAGACATAGCGACCGGCGCGGCGCGGCGACGATCACTCGCCCGCTAGCGCTCGGCTACCAATGTCGCGTGTTAATTCCCCCCATTCGTCCCAAGTCTATCGTTATGTCGTCTTTGCTAATTGGAACGGTAATATAAGGAAATTTACAAAAAGTATGGGGAGCTGTTCTTATTGAATTTGTTTAAATGACCAAATAATGGTGAAAGGGCATCTAGCAATAATATAATAAATAATTCTATATAGTTTAGCCTCATCTAGTAAATTATGCAAATACTAACAACTAACATTAACAAATAGTTATGACTAAAAATAAAATAGATTTTATGTAAACTTTAATATCTGAACAGCACAAGCTAGAATGTTCTAGAATGTTGCAAGGAGTTCTACAAAGTGTCTTGAAATAAATAAGTCGTACACAAAGGAAGTTTTTGTATGAACCGTTGGAATTGCA